AGGTGGCCAGCATTCGTGACTGGCTGAGTCCTCAGTCTCCGACTGAGATGAGGTCCTTCTTAGGAATGACCGGCTACTATCGCAATTTTGTGAAGAACTATAGCATAGTGGCCGCCCCTTTGACTGACCTGACCCGCCTTGACACCCCGTGGGAGTGGACAGACAGGTGTGAGGCTGCTTTCAGACATCCGAAGCATGCGTTGACACACCATGAGGTCTTGAAACTTCCTGATCCTGACAAGTCGTTCATAGTAACCACGGATGCCAACGAATATGGCATTGGTGTCGTGCTAGCGCAGCAGGAGGGGCCAAAGTTGAGGCCAGTTGAGTACACGTCCAAAAAGATGCCGTCTCAGAAGTTGGCTAGGTCCACCTATGAGAAGGAGCTCTACGCAATTTACAAGGCACTGACCCATTGGAGACATTACCTCCTTGGGAGGTTCTTCATCGTCAGGACTGATCATCAGACCCTGAAGTGGATGAGAACCCAGCCTGTGCTCTCTGATGCCTTGAAGCGCTGGATCGAAGTCAATGAACAATACGATTTCGAACCCCAGTATCTCAAGGGGGAGTACAATAAAGTTGCTGATGCCTTATCGCGTAGGCCTGATTTCTCTGGTGCGCTGATCACTGAGTTCGGGCTTGCGAACTATGTCACTCGCTCTATGGTGGAAGCCTATTGTGAGGATCAGTTTATGGCTGAGATCATTCGCAGACTCGAGGAAGCCTATTGCGAGAATCAGTTCATGGCTGAGATCATTTGCGGACTCGAGGCGAAGGACAAAGTAACTTCAGTCGGGTTTGAGTTGGTCAACGGCCTGCTGTTTCTTGAGAAGGAAGGGAATAAACGTCTGTGTGTGCCGGATAGAGAGTCTTTGCATAGTTTATTTTTAGGAGAGTGTCATGATGCCACCGGACATTTTGGCTACAAAAAGACAGCAGCCAATCTGCTGCAGCGGTTCTGGTGGCCCACGATGATGAGAGATGCCAAGCAGTACGTGGAAACTTGTCAGGTCTGTCAGAAGGACAAGCCACATGCACAACTCTTCTTGGGCTTCTGAAGCCCCTTCCGATTCCGGAAAGGCCTGGTGAGAGCCTGTCCATGGACTTCATGGATACGCTAGTCACCAGCAAGAGTGGAATGCGCTATGTCTACGTCATTGTGGATAGATTTAGTAAGTACGCTAGATTAGTCGCGATGCCTGCAACAGCTAAGACTGAGTATGTAATTAAGTTGTTCAAAGAAAACTGGGTCAGAGATTTTGGACTGCCAAAATCCATAGTCAGCGACCTTGATGTGTGATTCACTAGTGAACTATGGAAAGCCACAGCTGCAGAGCAGGGAACGCAGCTGCAGATGACATCAGGAAATCATCCAGAGGCGAATGGGCAAGCAGAACAGTTGAACCGCGCTGTACAACACCTGCTGAGGCACTACATCAAGCCTAATCAGGTAGACTGGGATGAGAAACTTGCTCTCATCGCCAGCCTGTACAATAACGATGTGCACAGCGCAACGGGAGTAAGCCCGAACAGTCTGCTATTGACCTTCAAGCCTAGACTGCCCTTAGATTTCWTACTACCTGAGAACCAACCWTCYGYTGCACCAGGAACCTTAGAATTTGCTTATYRTTATGAGCGTCTGATGCAGCAGGCTGTTGAACAGATGCACAAGGCTCAGGCGGCGATGATAGAATCTGAGAACAAGCACCACCGCCCGTCTACGTTTCAGGTAGGAGAGAGAGTCTGGGTCAAGTCCTCAGAACTGGGACAGGAGCACGGGATCTCCCGCAAGCTCATGCCACAGTACTTTGGACCATGGGAGGTCCTAGATGTTGTCAGGGATGAACCGGATGGGCCCTCATATGTTATCCACATCCCTGGTCACTTACGTACTTACCCTGTATTTCACGCTTCCAAACTCGCACCTCTCGGGCAAACAGATCAGTTTCCCTCTCGCCCCTCAATGCTGCCCCCAACCATGGATGGAGAGGTCGACATCGACGACATCGTTGACCACAAGGAAATGCCAGTTCCAAGACCGACAGGCAGGGGACGTCCTCCGAAACCGAAGCTGCAGTACCGGGTTCGGTTCAGGCATCATACTGATCCAAAGGAGGATCGATGGTTTACTAGGGAGGAACTGATGCAGACCGCTCCTCAGGTTGTGGGCCAATATGAAAAGTCTCTGCAGAAAAAGCGCCAGATTATTGAAGATTAAACTTCTCAGACTAGAGAAGTATGGAGGAGGGAATGCGAGGCACAAGGCCTCGATACGCCCTACTGGGCCCTATTTTCAGCACAGTCGGGCGCCCTAAGTGAAGGCAGGCTCGACCGAGGCCTACAGGCCAATTTTGGGGTCAACACGCAACTGGGGAAATTCAGGCAGTTGTGCAGCGCCAGTTGGTTGAGAGCGCCCAGGCCCTGGCCTCCTTTATCAAATGCATCTGAGTCAGGCCCTGGGCGAGATACGCAGCATGGACCCAACTCAGACTGTGGGCAGTTCGGCATGGGTAACTGTCATGGGCCCTGGGCCTGATTCATTTGGACTGGGACTCAGCCCCTGAGGGCCTACCGGAAGCTTCTGGGCTGAGGCCCAGCGCAGCCAGGCTGCATGCAAGGCAGGCAGGCCGCTTCCGTTTAGGAAAGGGCCTGCCCACGCATTCGGCATTCGGGCACTGGCTGCATGCTGCACAAGCGCTGCTGCGCTAACGCTGGCCAGGCTCAGGCGCTCACGGGCGAGCTGGAAGGAGCAGGCAGCCATAGCCGAGCTGCGCTCCTGTATGCTGGATGGGGCGCGTGGTGGTCCTTGGGTGCATGTGGCATCTGTGAGTTGGGGAACGAGGTTGTGAATGATACGAGAGACATACCTGGTGCTTGAAGCGTACGGCATTGGCCGAGATCTGCTCGTACTTCGGGGAGCTGTTGACGTCATC